AGGCCTTTTCATAAGCTAACAGGAAAGAAAAGATCAATCTTCACTGTCATAAAAACAACTACCAAAAATTATTTCACCAGATTGGTGATGACTTAAAAGAAATTATTTTTAAAGGATTTCAAAAAGATTTTTTGAAAAAGATAATTTTTTGTTGGTAAGAATATAAGGCAACAGGCTACTTCCAAACATTGTTCATGGAGATATAAGCTGGTATACATTTTCTGGAGAACATTTAACAATATGTACCGACACTTATAAAAAATATTATTAAAGAGAAAAATATGGAAGTATGTAGAGATACACAGGGATATTGATTTTAGATTGTAAGTTTGAGAAATTACAATCAAGATGTTTACAATAGGTTATTGGTTAAATAAATGATAACAAAGCTAGATTATTGACATGTTATGATGTTCATAACATGTTAAATGAAAAAGAAAAAAATTAAAAGGAAATTTTTTAAATAAAGTTAAAAGTTAAATGAACAATATATATAATTCCACATATATTTTTTAAAAGTATATAAAAATAAAATACTGGAAGGATGCACATCTCAACATAAACTGAGTTATCTTAGGGTCTTAGAATTAAAGGTAAATATTTTCTTGTCTGAATTTTTTGCAACTGGTAGATAATCAGGAAATTGTATTAATCATATGGGAAGATTTAAGATCTGGTCCCTCAGAATATCTAAGCTTACTTCCTGGTCCCTCAGAATATCTAAGCTTCTATATTTCTATAAATATAAATAAGGATTGGCAACCCCAAAAAAGTTCTCAGTCTAAATAAACTTTCACTCCAAACAGAAGAGTTCACCCAAACAGAATTCAAACTTTCATTACTTTTCTCATTTAAATTATTCTTGTTTTAAAAAGTTACAGGAATTCCATTTTGAGAGAGGTAATTTTTTTTGGGGGGGGGGGGGGTATAAAGGATGGGTAACATAATCCCTTTCCTCCCAGCCATATATTTCCATTATTTTAAGCAGAAAACCAAAAGGGCTTAAAAATGGCAATCTGCATATTTAAATAGTATCGTTATTAACCAGTAAAACCAATAACAATAACAACAAATTATGTTTCAGTTTAACGTTTTATCCCATACTTTTAATTCTGTCTAAAAAGGATCACTATTTGAGGTACAACAGAAGCTTCTCTAACTGACAAACACATTTGTACCGTCTTCTATTTAAAACATTTTCACAGTTCATAGCCAACCTTGTATGTTATATTCTGGCAGTTTTCATCCACAGAAGCATTAAGGATAGGAAACTGTAGTAATCCCAAGGAAGCAGCCTGTTTAACAAAAAGAGAATGCACTTTTAACTTAGAAAGGATATGGGCTTCAGAGCAATAAGAGGTGTAAAGGAAGGAGGGAGAGAACTCTTATTTATGCACAGTTTAATTTCAAGTCTACATGTACTAAGGCATATTACTTTTAAGCAGTGTGGAACCAGGTCACACTAATCATTTAAGAATAAAAAAAGTAGTCAGGTAGCTTGCAGATATCAAGATTTTCAAAATAACTATACAGACTGACCAAAATAACAGAGAAAATGCCTAAATTCTAAGTGATTTCCTCACATTTAGAATCTGAAGGTTTCCGTGAGAAGTAAACCTGTAGTTCACAAAGGCAGTAAATTACTTATTTGCCTGTTTAAAAGAACAAGTGATAAGGATTTCCAAGTGCACTGTCCATTAGTGGCTAGTGTTTGACCTGGTGTCCTGGCCGAGTGAAGGGCACAGCTGGCAGAACAGGTACTTCAGAGAAGGTCACCCGATTGTTCGCATTTATGTCTTCCTGCTTCACCCTCTTCTCCCTTGATCTCTCTCCTTTTTTCTCCTCTTAATACCATTCCTCTTCTGTCCATATTCAGATTTCCCTAACTGTCCCCAAAATGTTCTTTATAGCTGTTCTCTGACCATTCACGATCTAATCAAGGTTTACATACTGCATTTGGTTAAATTTAAAAAATAGCAAAATAAAAATGCTTACGATTATCCTTAAAAAGAATCCCTCCCCCAAACCCTCATCTAGTCTCATTAAGACTTCTTTATATGCATTGTGTGTTATTTTTGTCTGTGGGTCAGTGGTCATGACAGAAAAAAAAAAAATTCTTGAACTTGATAAAGTTACCAAGCATTTGATTTGATAACTATAACTGTAATCTTTAAATAAAAAATCTATAACTAAGATTAAAGTGTTATACATAAAAACAGTATTTTGAGTATAATCCAAATTTTGTAAAACAAAAGCAAAGTATGTGTCCAAGGATTAAAGGCATTTTTTTCCCCTGTACAATACTTTGTAATATTTTCCTGTAACAGTGGAAATTCTCCAGTTACAGGGAGGTGATATCTCCAGGCGCCAGCCCCAGGAAAAGCGCAACATTCCAAGGTAAAGATAGTAAAACTGTCTACTAGGCCCTGTTTGATCTGAGAGTCCCCTGGATACATTTATCTTTGTACAAAACGTTAACGGCTAACTTCTGCTTCTTGTAATCTGCTTATTCAAGGATGTAGTAGGAAGCTTTATAAGCTGCCTCTTCTGGAAGCTCGGGGCTGATCTCCTCTAACCCTGCGTGGTAGAGAGTCAGTCGCAGGCCGGCTAATAAAGACTCATAATTCATCTCAATTGGCTCCGTGGGTCTCAGAATCATTCGCGCCACATTTGGAGGCCCGAGCAAGATCCTCCCCAGAGTGAGAAGGGAAGTTTTCCCTAAGACCCACGGCCCCGGTTGCTCCGGGCGGGGCACGACGCGTCCAGGGGGCAGCTGCTGAGAGACGTTCCTCAGCCCTGGACATCGGGCGGCCCTGGACGTCGGGCGGCCCTAGATTGGAGAAACCGGTGGACAAATATTCCTGAAAATTGGACGCGAGCCTTCTGTTCCTGTTTCACCGGTGAGTTAGTCTAAGAGTAATCTTAGACCTGTTTCTGTTCCTGTCTCACCGGTGAGTTAGTCTAAGAGTAATCTTAGACCTGTTTCTGTCTGTGGGCCCTGAGAACTAGTGGAAGGCTGGACGCGGCACAACTTCCCTAGTACGGTCAGGTCTGAGACGTCAGATCCTGACCCTGTACCTGTTTCAGTTTCGGTTTCTGATACGCTAGCGTTTTCGTGTTGCCTGTAGTCTGTTTTGTCTGTCTGTATTGTGTGTTAGTCCGGACCGGTCGAATGTACTGTTACCCTCCTATTGCCTTGGTCCTCATAAGTTTACTTACTTTGGTTTCTGTCAAGTTTGTCTCATTGTCTGATCATTCTGGTCTCTGAATGTCTCTTGTGATTTTTCTTGTTATTCTTTTTAGTTTATTAATTCTTCTTTTTGCAGGGTTTCTTGCTGCTACAGCACTGCCCGAGTGGCCACCTAGTCACTGAGTGGACCTTGTCTAACATTCTTATCTTTCATAGGACTTTTATTCTCATTCACGTCCATCCCCACCGCCATGGGACAGGCTTCTTCTAAGCCCACTCCCTTGCGGTGCCTTGTGGACAATTTTAAGGATTTCAGGCGACGGGCCCGAGGTTATGGGTCGTCAGTCACTCCATTCGATCTCCAGAGGCTCTGCCAAGTGGACTGGCGGCCTTCGGAGTTGGATGGCCATCTGAGGGTTCCTTTGATTTGCAGACTGCATTCGGAGTCAGAAGTGTTGTTAATGGGAATCCTGGTCACCCTGATCAGTCCCCATACATAGATGTTTGGATAGACGTTGTGTCTGATGCTCCTAAGTATCTGAAAAATTGTCAGAGTAAGTCAGACTCTACGGTGGCTGACTCTGCCGGCGCCTGCCTCTCCTACGGTTTTACAGTACTCTCCAGAAGATCCAGAGATCCTCAATCCCCCTCCCTATTGTTCTCCTGGTAACCACTTTAAGCCCCCTGAGTCTCGAGAGGCAGCCCCTCTTCAGAGCCCACCACACACTCGGACGGGGGCTGTCTACTACCCTCCACAGGATCCGGACCCCATCCCCGATTCGTCGCAACCTGCAGCTGTCTTGGCGCCTCTCCGACAGATAGCCCCACCTGGGGGAGACACACAGACATCTTTCATGGTGTCTGTCCCCTTTTCAACTAGTGATCTGTATAACTGGAAGTTGCAAACTCCGTCCTTCTCAGAAAAACCCTAAGGCTTGATGTCCCTTTTAGAATCCATCTTCTTCACCCACCAAACCATGTGGGATAATTGCCAGCAGCTTTTACAGGTTTTGTTCAGTACAGAGGAGAAGGAACTCATTCTAAGGGAAGCTGCAAAAGGGGTCTCGGACCCCACTGGGCAGCCCACCACTGACCCCGCACGGGTACAACTTGTATTTCCCAGCACCCAACCCAACTGGAATCCCAACACCGATCAAGCTAAGGAGGCTCTCCTGAGGTATTGCCAGTTGTTACTCCAAGGCCTCCGGGCAGCAGCTCGCTGACCAGTTAATTTATCCAAAGTAAGTGAGGTTATTCAGACTAAAGATGAGTCGCCTGCAGCGTTTTTAGAGAGGTTACTAGAATCTTATAGACTGTACGCTCCCATTGAACCTGAGGACCCAAATAATGGGAGCCATTAATCTAGCCTTTGTTAGTCAGTTGGCCCCAGATATCAGAAAGAAATTACAGAAAGTAGAAGGATTTGAAGGAGAGAACTTATCTAAGCTTCTCGAGATTGCCCAGAAGGTGTTCAACAATAGGGATGAGGTCCAGAAGGTTATGTTTGTTGGACAGGATAAGTCACGGGGACGACCAGCCAAAGGCCAAGCCGATACCCCGAGGGAAAGGCGGGACCGGGGTCGGAATAACTTAGAAAAGGACCAATGTGCATACTGTAAGAAGAAAGGACATTAGAAGAACATATACCCCGAAAAGGGCCAGGGCCTGGGGAAAAAGGCCCCACTCATTATGTTAGAGGATGCAGAATGAGGAGGTCAGGGCTCCTACATTATGAGCCCCCGGGAGCCCAGGGTAACATTGCAAGTTCGGGGCCAATCTGTAAACTTTTTAGTGGACACAGGGGCTATGTACTCAGTCTTGCAGAATACAAATGGCCCCCTACCAACCTAGGAAAAAGGACCATCACTCATTCGTTCCTGGTTATGTCCGAATGCCCGTACCCCTTGCTGGAGAGAGACTTACTACAAAAATTACGGGCCACCATCTCTTTTAAGGAAAGACACACTGAACTAACTCTGGGGGCCACTCCATCTGCAATAATGCTCACTTGCCCCCCTCTCTGAAGAATACCTTTTATTAGAGGAGCCTGTTTTCGATCCTTCCCCTAATGCATCACTGTTAAAAGAACTGCGGTGCAAGATCCCTCGGGTGTGGGCGGAGACTAACCCACCCAGACTGGCAGCCCATCAGCCTCCTATTGTTGTGCTAAGTCCGGTACAGTATCGCAGTGCATATTCTCGGAGGCTCTTAAACAAAGGGATCTCAGTCCCCTGTCATTCGCCTTGGAATACCCCGCTGCTTCCAGTTCAGAAACCGGGTACCCAAAACTACAGGCCAGTACAGGACCTCAGAGAAGTAAATAAGCGGGTTGAAACCATACATCCCATCGTTCCCAACCTGTACACCCTCCTCAGCCAACTGCCGCCTAGTTACCAGGTGTACACGGTCCTTGATTCAAAGGACGCTTTCTTCACTCTCCCCCTAGCAAAGGTGAGTCAACCACTATTTGCATTTGAAGGGGAGGACCCTGGTAGACTGTATTCGGGACAATTGACTTGGACTAGACTGCCACAGGGATTTAAGAACTCACCCACATTGTTTGATGAGGCCCTGAGCGGGGACCTTATTGACTTTCGTCAGAGACATCCAGAGACCATTCTTTTACAATATGTAGATAATTTACTCTTAGCCACTACAACAGATGTAGAATGTAAGCGGGCCACTGAAGATTTATTACAAGAATTAGAGGGTAAGGGATACCGGGTGTCTGCTAAGAAAGCTCAACTCTGCACTTCCCAGGCAACGTATTTAGGATATAAGCTGCAAGGAGGCCACCGAACTCTGTCATCAAGCAGAATTGAGGCCGTTTTAAAAATACCCCAACCCTCTACCAAGCGGCAGGTCCTGGTCCAAAAGTTTCTCAGGGCCATAGGCTACTGCAGGCTCTGGATCCCAAGGTTTGCAGAGTTAGCCAAGCCCCTGTATGCCAGCACTCGGGGAAAGTCTGAAGACTTGCACTGGGGGAAAGAAGAATAAGAGGCTTTTGAGGCCCTAAAAACAGCCTTGACCACAGCCCCTGCTTTGGCTCTGCCTACTTTAGACAAGCCGTTCCAACTCTTTGTGACTGAAACTAGAGGCATAGCAAAGGGGGTCCTCACCCAGACTTGGGTGAGACCTATTGCATACCTCTCCAAAAGACTGGGCTGTGTTGCAGCCGGGTGGCCTAATTGCTTGCAGGCCATTGCAGCCACGGCCATCCTCACCAAAGAAGCCGTGAAGTTGACTTTAGGGCAGCCTATCCTGATTATAG